TCCGCCAGCGACGAGGTTGGCAGGGGCGGCTTCCCGTCCTGCCCGCCCGCCTGCGCTCAGCCTGGAGATCAGGGCCTCGGGATCTGGAGACAAAGGCTCGGCCTGCTGCCCTCTAAAGAAGGAGCCCTTTCCTGCCTCGATTTGGGGCGAGGGTGGGTGCTGGCCGAAGAAAGAACTGGGAGGAGGCAGCTGTGAAAATGACTCATTTTCCCCTTTGTGTCTTTTCAGATCCTGCGGGTGGGCCTGCTCAGCACCGGGTAGTGTGTTTGGGGAGGGCTGGGGACCTGTCCAGGCCTGGCACCTGGGCGGGAGGGCTCCTTCCTTGCTCAGGAGTTTCTCTGTCCACTTTTCCATGTACTTTTTGGGGACTAGGGGAAGGAATGAGTTAAATCCTCAACCCACATGGCTCCTTTATTTACCTTATTGAAGGAGGGAGGCTCTTAGAAGAGCTGGGGGTCACTAGGGGACAACCTGTGATGTCACCGTTGAGGGCTCTGAAACCTCATAGGTTTGCTGAGCCACTGAAATGACTGAGTGAAAAGGAACCCCATTGCTTTTAAGCTCTCCTTGGCCCCCTAAGAAGCAGGGAGCTCTGAGGCTGGGAGAGAAGGTTCCTGCCCCAACTGTGTGAGCTGATACAAATAAGGGACCTGTCCCCAGAGTGCCACACTCCAATCTGGTGGAGTCATGGGCTCTGGGTTCTGAGCTGTTGTGTTCCTGGTGAGCAGGGCAGACAGACCAGCCCTCCGTTTTCAGGAGCTGCAGGTGGCATGGTTCTGCAGCAGAGTCTGGCAGTGCAGAGTGAGGGGCGGTTGCCCCTTCTCCAGGTGGGGAATGACACCTCTAGAGACTTAGTGAGGCCCTATTTCAAAACAGAAAATGAAAAAAGGGCTGAGTAGGTACCTTAGTGCAGAGGTCCTGGGTTCAATCTCCAGTACCAGAAAAAAAAAGGTGGTGGTGAGGAATAATCAGAACTTTTCCCTCTCCCTCCTGGCTGTTGGGACTAGGTGGCTGACCAAGTGTCTTGGAGGGAGGAAGCCCTTTAGAGTGATAGGAGCCTTCTTGACAGGCAGAACCTTACCTGGGCTGACCCAGGGACCTTCCGGGATGGATGGTTCCAGGACTGATAGGAAACCCCTGAACTCCAGGGAAGGAGTTACGTGATGTGCCCTGAAACAGCCATGCACACTTTGGCTATGGGTGTGCCACAGTGTGTCCCAAGACCTGCTGGGGTCCTCGTCTCTGCCCACTGCAGGCAGCAGGACCAGAGATGGGAGGGACTCTGGTAGCTCTGGGCCTCATCCTGTAAAATGAAGGGGACTGGCCTTGAGTTCAACTGTGTTGTCCTGTCCCCTGCCCCCAGCAAGGCTGTCTCCTAAGACCGAGAGCCAGCGCCCCCTACTGACCCCTTTGTGTCTCCCACAGTGAACCTCTTTCTCACTGGGAGGCTCAGCAGCGCAGTGCCTGCCTTTGGTAAGTCAGCCCTTCTCTACTCTGGCCCTTCTGGGTTAGTAACCTCTGAGGACAGCCTTCAGGGTCTGGCTCCACCTTGGGGTCCTCTGTCTTCTTGTTGGGAAAACCAATTCTTGTGTATCTTTTCTGCATCACAAAGGGGTTGTTTGGCTTTGGGCAAGCTTAAACTTCCTGAGCCTCAGTTTTCTCTTTCATAAAATGGCTAAAATACCAGGCTCTGCCTCATCAGGATCCAGGGAACCAATGAGGTAAGATGCTCAGCATGACACCTGGCACGTGGTGGTTTAATACCCCTGGCAATCTACCCAGGGCCCTGCACAGTTGCCAGATTGTGCCTCCCATACGCTGTGGGGTTCCTGAGAACCATGGGATGCCCATCTGTGTTAAAATAATAGCTGGGATTTCATTTACAGAGGTAGGACTGAGTGATGGCATGAGGAGGCTAATACCACTGAGAAAAGAATTTATAGCTTTTCTTGATAGAAAGGACACATCATGCAGCACAGGACTGGATGAATTACTAGATTTAGCCAGGCAGGAGCAGGAGTGAGGGGAAAGCGGAGGCCAGAGCCTTTATTGGGGTGTCCACAGAAAAGTCCAGGCAGGGCAGAATGAAGAGTTTAGGACTGAAGAGCTTAGTGTGAATGGGTCTGAGGGCTATAGAGTAGGCTCTAGCTGCCTAGTAACCAGTCCTGGGAAGGACACGTCACTGGAGATCACTGGCTTGGTGTATGAGCATCACACAGAAGGTCAGTGAGGGGACAGCCTTGGATTGGCTACTTTGCACATGTAAGGTAGTTGCAGGGGAGCCAATTTGCAGGAGAGAGGTACAGTTCGCTGGTAGGTCACGTGGAATGTTATAAAGCACAGTGGGGACTCAGTCCCAGCCTCCTGGTCAGAGTGGGCTGCCTCTCAGAGTGGGCTGGCCATCCAGTGGCCATCTTTCGGCTTTGACCTGACAGCAGAAGCTGCCAAGAATGGGAGAGATTGCTAAGAACATTGATCTTCTGCTGCTGAGGGACTCTTGGGGGTTGGAGAATGCATAGGTCCAGGCTGCCTGGCCCTCACTGCCACCACGAAAGTTCTGAGAAGGGACCCTAGGGGAGCCTGTTCTATGATTGATACATCCTGATAAACTCCACCATCCCTTGCTAATGCAGTCTATATATATATAGCCATCCTCAGCAAACTCTAAAAAGGTATTAATGTAAGCATGAGTGTTTGCATAAAAATGCTGGGTCAAGGTGTCGTCAAGGAGGATGTGTGGTCCCCAGTTTGAGGACCATTTTTTGTGTTTCATATCCTGTGGGGGAGCAGGAGATTCTAGTTCTGCTCAGGGGCTGACTGGCTGCAGAAACCCAGAGGCTGACTCAAGTGTTAGACCAGAGGCTGTCAGTCAGAGAGACCGCTGCTGGCTGTGGTGGGGGAGTGTGTGTGTATGTGTGGGGTGGAGCCCAGGGTCCACAGAGGCTGATCTCCTGGCTAACCTCAAAGACTCGGCCTCTGTCCTCCTCTTGATTCTCTGTGTACCCCAGTAATGTGCTCGTGCAGCCTGGCCTTCTCTGCTGACCCAGTCTGGCCCCATGGCTCTGCCTGATGTCCTAGCCACAGAGGTCAGCCCAGTTTCCCATCTCAATTTCCAGGAAATGACTGGCCCAGCCTGGGTCAAGTGTCTGTGGGATAAGTGGGTAAATAGGGTTCACAGCTTGCAAAGGTGAGCCTTCTGGCTGAAGTGGTGGATGGGTTCATTGCCCTGAACATATATGTTGCATGCACATTCCCCAGGTCTAGAAAAGTAATACCTAAGGGACTAGGTCACTCATGTAGCCTGGGAGAGAGAAGGATACCTACCCATCCAGGTCCTCATGTCTGGCTGTTCTTAGCTGTCAAGACCTCAGGTCCTGGCAGGGTCCATGGTGCTCAAATCCAGGGGCTGCTGTTGTCACCTTTGTGCCCATGTACAGCATCCTTGGTGTTATGTGTTGCATGCACAGCTTGCATGGTGATGAGTGGTATTGTGGGGCCCTGGGTCTCCTGGAGTCTGGCTTTGTTCCCTGCAGCATCTGGCTGCATGAGGTACCCCCTCCCACCATGGCTCTATGACTGCCTTTTCAGGGCTTTCTCTGAGATTCCTACTGTGAAAGAGCCTGGATCAGGAACTGTTCCCCCAGCCCCTTCCCACTGGGCCGCCTGGAAACCTCACAGGTTTTGGCCTCAGCTCCTGCCCTGCTCCAGCCTGTCAGGCACCACCTCCCCCAGCTTCAGGAAGGCCCCAAAGTATGAGCTGGCCAGGGTTGTGCTGTCCTCTCCACTCAGCTGACAACTTCCCCAAGGGCCTGGGTGGGACTCCTGGCTCCCTGTCCTCGGGTTACACCAGGCAGGTTGTCCGGAAATTGGATCTGTAAATTGTGCTTCCTCAGGCTTTGCCCTTGTCTTCTCAGGAGTATTTGATGACTTTTGGACCAGGAAAGGAGGATACTGTCCATAAAGTGCCCAGTCATCTCTTTCCCACTTGAGGAGGCAGGCCACTGAGGACCAAGGCAAACTTCTGCCTATGTGAAAGCAGGCCCCTCCTCCTGAAGCTTCGACCTCCCCAAGTGCCCCTAAATCCCTCAAAGCCCTCTCCTGCATCACTCTCACTCCAAACACAGTCTCCCCACAAATTGCTGTCCTGCATCAGTGACCCCTAATCACAGTCCTCCCCTAGCTCCTTCTGCATCAGTACCTCTCAAATACACAGTTCTCTCATCTCTCCACTTACCCCTCCTTTCATATCCCATCACCCCCCTCCTTTCCTACAGGTGTTCCTGGAGAGTCCCTTGCTCCTCTACTCCCCATCGCCTTGAGATCACAGCTTTCCTCAGATCTTTCAACATCCCTCTGACACAAGCAACATACACACTGACTTCATTTTATGGGTGGACAAGCTGAGGCCCAGGGCACAATGGGGTGCCCGGCAGTGTGGGCCTAGGATTGGTTGAATTCATGAGTCTTATTCCTGTCTAGGCCAGTGCCATCCTGTCACAGAGAGCTGGGGGGCTGACTGGCTGAACTGGGGCCATCTTTCAGGCCCTGGTGGTCAAGTGGCATCAGTGAAGAGCCTAGGATGCAGCTTCCAGCCCCTGGAGCAGTCCCCGGCCTGCCTTCTGCTCCTCCTTCCTTCTGCGTGATGCTGGGCCAGCAGCTGCAAAGCCTGGTCTCTTGGCCACCTTTGGAGAAGAGCAAACACTTAACTAAGGGCCAGTGCCCTTGAGGCACCTGATGCAGGAATTTCTGGGGCAGCGTTGGGGGACCGCACTGCTTTGTGGCAGAGCTGGGCTGACAGTGGAACAGGCATCTGGAGTGACAGGCTTCCCACCCTCTGAACAGATGGCCAAACGTAGGGTCAGGAGGGAAAAGTCTTCTGGCTGAGCAGGTGGGTCAGAAGAGCAAGGTGGCCTGAGGGAGGCCCTATGGCCAGTGTAGGTCAGACACCTGACCTCTGCCACTGCCCTGACAAGATGAGCAGGGCTGTGTCCATCCTCTAGGGAAGGCCTGGGGCAGGCACAGCCCTGTCCTTGGGGCTGAGGGCACAGGTGACCCAGGGCTGGTCCCCACTCTCACCAGCCATGGGTCAGGCATGTGCAAGCTTCTGGGGACAGTGTTGGATCAGAGCATTACATCACTGTCCCCCAGAGGGAGCCTGTCATCAAATAATCCCAGGCACAGCAGAGGCTGGGAAGGACAGGAGGGGGCTCAGGATGGAAACTCCACTGGGAGTCTGAGGGCTGAAGCTAAGCAGGAGTCAGAGTGGCATAGGAGAGCAGGGGAGCACCCACCAGGCTCTGCAAGAGCAAAGTCTTCTTCCCATGCAAGAAAACATGGGGACTTGGGAGGCGAGGGAGTTATGGGAGGGATGAGCTGGACGGGGTGGGTGGGCAGTTGGTGTGCTTGTCGTAAAAGCACAGATGGCTGACAGAGGGCTTTCCTCGTTTCTGCCACTGCCCTCTTTGGGGTCCCAGAGAGTTTTGAAGAAGGCCCTGAGGCCATGGGTGTTGCATCTTGCTGGTCACCAATGGGAGTTGCTGGGGGTGCACTCTTAGCTTTGCAAGAGATAGGAGGCATATTGCATGGAATGGGGGCTACACTTCCCTGAGTTCAAGTGACTCTGCCCGGACCTCCCCATGTACACTACTTCCATGAAATCTCCTCCCCCTGGTCATGGCCACCCTTGGCTGGACTTGTTCTCACTATGGGGAAGGCCTGTGCTCAAGCCGTGGGGTGGTGTCAAGCAGCACCACCTTCAACCTGCTTCCCACCTAAAGGTGGGGCATGCATTTCTCAGCCTCCTCTCTTAACAGCTGCCTGCAGTGGGAAGCTGGAACAGCACACAGAACGGCGTGGTGTCATCTACAGCCCGGCCTGGCCCCTCAACTACCCACCAGGCACCAATTGCAGCTGGTACATCCAGGGGGATCGTGGGGACATGATCACCATCAGGTAAAGGAGTCTCTGGGGGCATTGCATGTGCTGGGTGAGCAAGCGTGTATGTGCATGTGTGGTGGTTGTGGAGGGCACACGTGTGGGTATGCGTAGTTTTGTAAGTGTGTGCATGCATGTGTGAGCACATGTATGCTTGTGAACTTGCACAAGCCTATGCCTGAACAGCCGTAAAGAGCAGGTGTGAGCACACATCTATGCAGGTGCACAGGGCATAGGTGAGAGTAGATGTCTGAGGACGTGTGACCATGTGTGTGCATGAGTCTACCCAGCTCTCCAGTTCTCCATGGCTGGGGTCCTGAGCTGGAGTTCTTCCTGTTCTGAGCCTCCTTTGTGGGGTGTAAAGAAGGAACTCCTCAGAACTAGCAGGAATAGTCTGGCTGTATCAGAGATGTCCTCTGTCCTGCAAGGGAGGCTGACACCAAGCCCAGTTTCCCCAAGGGGGCTCAGGTGGTCTCATCAGGGACAGAATTCAGAATGGAGCCTCTAGCTGTAGTGCTGTGCAGAAGGAAATGGCAGGAGGCAGCCAGGGTGGGTAGAGGGAGGCTGGACATCTGGCTAAGGTTCCATCTGCTGTAGTTCTCTTGGATTCCCAGGTTCCAGAAGCCTGCTAGGCCCAAAGGACATGGAAGTGGTTTTGGGATGTAGCTTAGAATGCTAGAGTGCTTGCCGAGTATGTGTGAGGCCCAGGACTCCATCCCTAGCATTGCAAAACAAGTGAAAAACCAAATAATATGGATGCAACAGGCAGGGGCTGTCCTGGTTTCTGCCTCAGTTTCCCCATGGCCACAGGACCATGGCTGTGGGACAAAGGACCTGGGCTAGTGTTTGTAGGTGACTGTCCCCCAGCTGCAGCATTGGTAGCTCTGTAGGCACAGCCTCACTGTTAGTGCCCTTTAGAGTTTGTGCTTCTGTCCCAGCTGGTGCAGTGTAGAAGGGATCTGGGGATTTGGGGAAATGTGTCAGGGAGGCTCCTGACATTCCCCACTCTGGCTCCGGGTTGTGGGTTCTGTATGTGTGCTGATGGAGGGGAAGAGAGAACCACAGCAGAGCTAAGTGACGGTAACTGTCCACGAATGTCATGATTCTTCATGGTGCTGCCCTTGCACTCCCTGGGAGCAGAGGAATCAGACATCATGGCAGACTCGGGACAGGGCTGCTGAGTGAAGATGTAGCTGTCCATCCTTGCCTCAAGCTCTGGCCTGACCATCCTCTGCTTGTCCTGGGCAGCTCATTCAACCCTTTCCATGGTCCTCTCTGCCTCTGCAGTTTCCGCAACTTTGATGTGGAGGAGTCCCACCAGTGCTCCCTGGACTGGCTCCTGCTGGGCCCTGCAGCCCCACCCCGCCAGGAGGCCTTCCGCCTCTGTGGCTCTGCCATTCCGCCCGCCTTCATCTCTGCCCGTGACCACGTCTGGATCTTCTTCCACTCAGATGCCTCCAGCTCTGGCCAGGCCCAGGGCTTCCGCCTCTCCTATATCCGAGGTGATACTGGTCACAGGGCAGGGCAGGGCAGGGACACCATGGAGCACTCAGTGCATGGGCTCCCAGCCAGGGCAGCACCGTTCATGGCCCGCTGCTCCCTCAGGGTCTCCACTGGCCAACCCTGTAAATCTTAAGATGGGGCTGGGGCTGTCAAGCTGTTGCCTCTGCACATCACTGATCTCTTTCACAGGTTGGTTAGAAGGGGAACTCACAAGCCCTCACCCTATGGTCAGGTCAGGGACTGAGCCCACCCTGGCGCCCCAGGAGTCTCTGTCTTTTTTCAGATGGTCCTTCCTCTTCTGGGCCCTGCAGAGGCCCAGCTGAGATGCTGACCTGCCCACTCCTGGCCCCAGATCTTGGTGCTGGAGGGGGGATCTTCTCTCCTCTGACTGCCTCCTGCTACCCATTTGCCCACAGGGAAGTTGGGCCAAGTGTCCTGCCAGGCAGACGAGTTCCGGTGTGACAACGGCAAGTGCCTGCCGGGCCCATGGCAGTGTAACACTGTGGATGAGTGTGGAGATGGCTCTGATGAAGGCAACTGCTCAGCACCCGCCTCTGAGCCGCCCGGCAGCCTGTGCCCAGGGGGGACCTTCCCCTGCAGTGGGGCACGCTCCACACGCTGTCTGCCAGTGGAGCGGCGCTGTGATGGCACCCAGGACTGTGGTGATGGCTCTGATGAGGCTGGCTGCCCGGACTTGGCATGTGGCCGGCGGCTGGGCAGCTTCTATGGCTCCTTCGCTTCCCCAGACCTGTTTGGCGCAGCCCGTGGGCCCTTGGACCTTCACTGCACATGGCTGGTGGACACACAGGACCCTCGGCGCGTGCTGCTGCAGCTGGAGCTACGGCTGGGTTACGACGACTACGTGCAGGTGTATGAGGGCCTGGGCGAGCGTGGGGACCGCCTGCTGCAGACGCTGTCCTACCGCAGCAACCACCGGCCAGTGAGCCTCGAGGCCGCACAGGGCCGCCTCACCGTGGCCTACCACGCCCGCGCCCGCAGTGCCGGCCACGGCTTCAACGCCACCTACCAGGTGAAGGGCTACTGCCTCCCATGGGAGCAGCCATGTGGGAGCAGCAGTGAAGGGGACAATGACAGCTCGGGGGACCAGGGCTGCTTCTCAGAGCCACAGCGCTGTGATGGTTGGTGGCACTGTGCCAGTGGCCGGGATGAGCAGGGCTGCCCAGCCTGCCCGCCTGACCAGTACCCCTGCGAGGGGGGCAGCGGCCTGTGTTATGCACCCACTGACCGCTGCAACAACCAGAAAAGCTGCCCTGATGGCGCTGATGAGAAGAACTGCTTCTCCTGCCAGCCTGGAACCTTCCACTGTGGCACCAACCTTTGCATCTTTGAGACGTGGCGCTGTGACGGTCAGGAGGACTGCCAGGACGGTAGCGACGAGCACGGCTGCCTGGCCGCCGTGCCCCGCAAGGTCATCACCGCTGCACTCATCGGCAGCCTGGTGTGTGGCCTGCTGCTGGTCATCGCCCTGGGCTGTGCCTTCAAGCTCTACTCCCTGCGCACGCAGGAGTACAGGTGGGCACTACATTGTGGCTGGGAGCCTCGGGCCCAGCGTTTCCTTGAGATTGCCCTGGGGCTCACTGTGTGCTCAGCTGTGGGTTTGCAGGTGGAGGCTTGGGCCATCTGCTTGGGGACAGCTCTTGTGCATGCTAGGTCTAGGTATCTCTTGATGTCTGGGTAGAGGCGGGGTCCCTAAGTCCTGTTGCTGTGGGAAGTCCCACTAACCCCGCCAACTTCTCCTCTGGCCACTGCCTTCAGGGCCTTTGAGACCCAGATGACACGCCTGGAGGCCGAGTTTGTGCGGAGGGAGGCACCTCCGTCCTATGGCCAGCTCATTGCACAGGGCCTCATCCCACCTGTGGAGGACTTCCCCGTGTACAGCGCATCCCAGGTGAGCCCAAGAAGGTGTGATGCCTCCAGGGCCCAGGCTTCCTGTGGGACCCCAGACAGCACCCAAGAGCAGGCAGCAGAAGGGCCGGGTGGGACTGCATGCAAACTAGGATGGTTTAGGGGTCACAGGGGCAGGGGGAGGTCCGAGCAGGGTGACTTGGCAGGCCGCAGCTAGGTGGAAAGGCACAGTTTGTCACATGGGTCTCAGGTCCCTTAGAAGTATGCTGACCTCTGTCCCTGAGTGGCCTGGCCACCCCCTTAGCTGTGGCCCCTTCCTCCAGGCCTCTGTGCTACAGAACCTTCGCACAGCCATGCGACGACAGATGAGGCGACATGCCTCCTGCCGGGGCCCCTCCCCGCAGGCTC